CTCTAGTTTTGAAGAATTACTAAAAGCGGAAGCTTCCCAATACAGTAATTACTACAATGTTCACTATCACACATATAATTTATAGAGGCTCAAGCTCAGGATACATTCTAGTTATGACACCATTTTCCACTATTACAGCAATATTAGAGTCATAGTTTGTTGGCGAACCTTCAAGAACAATAAAACTCTGATTCTCGGACTTCAAATTGAAAATTTTGTCAACATTGTACGACAACAAGTTAACAGCTTCACTTTCAGAAAGACCACCAAAAGATGCAGCAGAGGCACAATAGTCAAGTGCTAACCTAACATCCAGATCTTCTGGATATCCTAAGCCAACCGTAATACCTTCTCTTGTTAAGTTTTGTAGCAAGGAAACTTCACCACCGACCCCAGTTAAACAGCGACGTTCGTCCCAAAACTTGCGTTGACAGGCCCATCCTTTCAAGACAACAGGAATATTTTCTGCTTTTAATTTATCAACAATTAAATGTGATTCTAGTCCACCAATAACTATCACGTTCAATTTAAGCTCTTTTTTCAACTTTATTAAATGAAGCAGCACATCTTTACTATTAACATGAACAGCTAAAGGCAGTACACCTCTTGCCACCTCACCAAAAGTGTTTTGACTAAACAAATTTTTGTATAATAGATCTCTCAACGTTGAAATTTGGGATGAAATAGTTGGTGTCATGTCTTCTTTACCCATGTCTCCCAAGGTAATATGTAATGCAACTTCCTGTTTCAGTATACCTGACAGATCTTGAGCATTTGAATTAAAACTTGTACTGACACCAGTTATGAATTTCTTACCTTCAGATCTAAATGGAGGTGTGATTATTTTCAAGACTCCTGAATTGTAAGCTCTTTTCAAATGCTCACTTTGCAAATGTAAACCATCCTTTGCCTTCAACACCTCAAAGCCTTCGATACTTCTAGAGTCACCGTCGCCAGTCGATTTCTCAGATTGCATTTCAACTAATCCATGGGACTCAGTAAGAGCAGTTAAACCTGGTAACAATGCTCCATTTTCCACTGAAATCAGCTCATAATGACTAGAGGTATAATTTTTGCATGATTTGGCAAGGCATTTTATATGTCCATCAGCGACTAACAGCTCATAAGGATCACTATCAGTCTTTTCGATACCTTTCATAAAAGATTTTTCAATACCGGTAATAATGAATTGGTCAGAACTCTCTCCATTTCTTGTAAAATTAGACTTTATCCTATTTCCTAGCTTCTTTTCATGAAATTCCTCTGTTATATTCAAGGACATTATAGTTTCACCATCAATGAATACGCTTAAAGGAGTTGACCCTGGTTCTAATGGGTGCTTATTCCATATAACAATATCAGCATCATAACCTTTTCTCAGAAATCCAATTCTATCATCAAGCCCTAAGCCTCTTGCAGCTTGACCAGTTATACTTGAAAATGCTTTCTCTTTGGAAAGACCATAATTGTGCGCAATCTGAGCTTGGAAGTTCAATGTATGTCCTGGTAATGCCGGATGATCAGTAGTTAGGACAACATTAATATCATTTTTCTCCAAAATAGCAGGACTGAATAATGAAGCTTGAAATGCTTCCTTCTTGAATCCCCATAACGAAGCGAATGTTGCAACAGTAATGTTCCAAGGAAGGTTCTTTAAAATTTGAGGAATTTTATATGCATCTAAAGCATGATGCAAAGCATCGACCTGAAAACCAAACTCTTTCGCGTGCCTTAATAATGTTTCAATATCAAAGGTCTCATAGCAATGTGCATTACTTTGAACTTGACCTCTCAATAGTCCCACTAAAATTTCCAATTCAACGTTATAAGGGAATGGCTTTGTAGGCAAATGTCTTCGAGCCACATTATCACACCATTCATCTTGCTCATCCCTTAATAGCTCTGATCTATGGATATATTCCCTGAATAAATAACCCAACCCCATTCTTGACTTTGGAGCCTCTGGTCTTGAAATATACCGTTTTTTGGGGTTTTCACCACATGCCATTTTCATCCAACGCTGCCTTTGACCCTGATTAGGAAGATGTGCTTGATGATACTGAACAAGCATATCCTCAACAGATGATGATGGTGGAACAAACATCTTAAATGCATATCCTTCTCCTGAGATTAAATTAGCACTTGGTAGAACTAATGAGGTGGTCACACCGCCTTTGGCAATTAGCTGAATTGCTGGATCTCCAATATTGAAGGCATCAATAACTCTAGTGAATGGAGTTACTGGGCTCATCAACTCAAACATATCATTAACACCTTTTAACTCTGGCTGAGAGCAAATTCCAGCATGTGAATGCATCTCAACTAAACCAGGCGAAACTATGTGCCCTTGTGCATCAATTACTTCAGCAATATTGAAGCTTTGTTGAAAGTAAGCACTTTCTATCGACCCTGCCTCGTGAACATTTGATATAATGCCATTTTCGATATAAATATCCATCTTTTGCTTTGATAATGTACCATCACCGTCAAGTAATAAAGCATTTTTGATTAGCTTTGGGGCACCAGCTTTAAGACCATGAACTTTGACTCGTGGATTGAAGTTTCTTTGGGTTGGATCTAGTATATATGGTTTTGTAAACCTACCTTCACACTGTTGAATAGCCTTGTGGAATTTCTCTGTTTCGAACTGGTTGTATCCCCCACTAAAAAAGTTCAGAGACAACGATACCAAAAGCACCAGCCCAATTGTCGTTCCAAAGATATCCAGTCTTGCTTTAAGCATTTCGTACACGATTCTTATCCGTCATTATTCAATTAATCTCTTTCAGGACACCTAGAGCACTTTATGAATCTGTTGTTTTGAGAATGTGTTCAACACATCTTTTTTTCTTGGAGCAGTTCGCGATCCGGGTGTACCTCTGTTTTAAGCAGCTTCCCAAAAGGGTAGCTTCTCCGTTAGGAAGATACTCGATAAGGAATATCCTGTGATAAATCATACAAAAAGCTTTTACAATCTTTGCCTTTTTCACAAACTTTTCCTCAAATTGACATCAACATGTATCATCAGGAGAAAAGTGGTAGACACTCGAAAAGAAATATTACCATAGGTATGCTATCAACCTTGGTCACAATTGGTGTTTTAGCTTCTTGGACAACATTAGTGAACATCAAGCCCTCAGAGAGTTTTAACGACATTGTCAAATTGGATTATTGCCCAAAATTATTAAAGCTTGTACCAGAGGAGAACAGTCAGTTATTAAGCCTTTCAGATTTCCATTCGGAAGCATACAAGAACTATTCGTTAAGTGTTTGGCAAGATGCAATTAAAATATATACACCAAGTTTTGATGATTTAGGTGCTGTTGGTGAAGACAAAAGATGGGAAGTTTTCTTTGAATTTGAAAAATATTTGAAGCAGTCATTTCCAGCTGTTCATGAATTTGCAAGTTTAGAACAAGTTAACCTTCATGGGTTGGTTTATCACATCAAAGGTTCAGACGCTTCTTTGAAGCCTATTATGTTAACAGGCCATCAAGATGTTGTCCCAGTTCCACCAGAAACTATCAAAAGATGGACTTATCCGCCATTTGAAGCACACTTTGATGGAAAATTTGTTTGGGGTCGTGGATCTAGTGATTGTAAGAATAATGTCATTGGTATATTTGAGGCTTTGGAACAGTTGTTTACTCATGGATTTAAGCCAAAAAGAGGTATCGTTGTTGCATTGGGATTTGATGAAGAGTCAAGTGGTAAAGAAGGGGCGGAAAAGATAGGACAATATCTTTTAAGGAACTTTGGTGAAAAGTCTTTCTTTAGTATAATAGATGAAGGTGGTTTGGGTATACAAGACTTTTATGGTACAAGATTCGCTCTCCCATCAACTGGTGAGAAAGGTTATGTTGATATAGTTATTGATTTGGTTACTCAAGGAGGACACAGCTCTGTTCCTCCAAAACATACAGGAATTGGTATTATTAGTCATTTGGTAACACTCATTGAATCATATGATTATAGTTTGGATATAACTGATAAAAATCCCTTTTTTTACCAGCTTCAATGTGAGGCTAAATTTGGTGCAACTATTGGCCACAGACTGAAATCTGATCTACTCAACATTGGAGATCCAAAATCAAAGAAGAGAGCCTTAGATATTTTAGCAACAGATGGGACAACGAGAGCTTTATTATCAACAACACAGGCGGTGGATATCATACATGGAGGCTTGAAAATCAATGCTTTACCTGAAAAAGTCACATTGAAGATTAATCACCGGGTTGGCTATGATTCATCAATCAAAGAAGTTAAAGATCGTATCACATCGCTCGTACTACAAGTGGCAGATTTATATGGGTTAGGAGTTCAGGCATTTGAAAAAACTTTGAAAGATGCTGTAAATGGCCAATTTACAATCATCAGTGATTCTGATTTGGATCCTGCTCCTTTGACATCAACCATTGGTAACCCAACATGGGATATATTGGGTGGAACAATAAAGCATGTGTTTGAAGATTTCGCAAACTTTAGTGATCATAATCCAGAAGTTGATCCAGAAGTTATTGTGGCCCCAAGCTGTATGACAGGTAACACTGATACTAAACACTATTGGAAATTGTCAGAAAATATTTACCGTTTCACTCCCATTCAACAAGAAAAGAGACTAAATGCACATGCTATTGATGAACGAGTTCAACTTGATGCTCACATCGAAGGTGTTGTATTTTACCATCAATTTATTAGAAATGCTGATTCATATGAATGAATAGATGTATATTAAAATAATAAATTGCCATGTAAAATCTCCTCAACATTTGGGTAACAACGCTCCACTCTACCGTCTTCGACACTCAACGCAATATTGGCACCAAATTCAAATGGATTATGTTCAAAAATTAACAGGTTTTTGTTTTGTTCAATGCCAAATATCTCTTCGACACTTGTTATTAAATTAACTGTTTCCACAAATGTAAAATTGGTTGATTCAATGGATTTAGCGGCAGACCCAACCTCCCAAAATATTCTTCTGAGGTTTGTAGCTTCATCATACGCGATTGAAAATTGAACACCAGCCTTGTATAAAATTTCGATAGATGATTCAC